CAACATTTAATATTCATTACTAAAGGTACAGCCGAATCATCACAGCGCACAAAACCTATTACCGCCGCAGATGGACCAAAAAAGGGAGCGTTTGAAAAAAATGTGCGGTCCGCTCAAAACAATAACAACGAAACATGGAGGAACAAAAGTCTGCGTTTAAATCGTGGCGATATCGACACCACAGGAAAACCTCCTTCACTTCATGAAATCTCTGCAGCACCAGGAGGCAGCGGGAGGGTTAACTCAGCCTCGCCAACCTCGCTAACGCCAGTTTTGGCATGTGCCAACACTGGCAGGACAGAAGGCGACACGCCCGTTCTAAGCTGTGTCCCTCACTCCTCACATCCCAAGCTGCATCCCCAAAAAGTGTATTATGTTGTTACATCATTTCAGATGTTATGTTTCAGTTGTGCTCTTGATAAGCCATTAAAACAGTAAAAACACGTTCAGTTTCATTTAGCTTTTTGTGTCTCCTGTACACCAAAACATACCCATCTGTGATGGAAAAAGAAAGTAATCCAAAAGTAATTTAAAAGTAATCTGAATACGTTACTTTTTTAAGACACGTAACTGTAACTGTATTCGGATTACTTTCAGAGCCATGTATTCAGTAATCAGTAACTGATTACATTTACAAAGTAACCCTCCCAACCCTGCCTATAGTTCTCATTCATAACACTTCGTTCAATGTCTCACTATGGGATATTGAGTCTCCCGTATTGCTAGACATGCTTATCTCGAAAATCACCAAAAATCAGTACTCAACAGGTAGAACTCTGTCCCAACACGGGGCCCAGCACTGCATGGGCCACACTTGGAGCAGAGACATCCAATCTGTAAAAACGGACAAAAGTGAGCGGTGAAGACCAGCTTGCTGCCGCACAAATGTCCTGGATGGAAACACCCTTAAACAAAGCCCAGGACGTAGCCAGGCCACGAGTAGAATGAGCACGCAGGCCCGTTGGTGCCTGCAAACCCTGACTCATATAAGCCAGAGCTATCGCTTCCACAATCCAGTGGGAGCGTCGTTGCCTGGTAAAGGGCTTGCCCTTATGAGGGTCAGCCCAGGATACAAAGAGTTGGTCACTGCATCGAAACTCTTTAGACCTGTCCATATAGATGCGCAAGGCACGAACTGGACACAGCAAATTTGGCCGCTGTTCTTCAGAAGAACATAACGGTGAAGAAAATGCCGCAAGGTCAATGGGGGTGCATGAGCCAACCACCTTGGGCACAAAAGCAGGGTTAGGCTTCAGCAACACTCTTGCTTGCCCCGGGCCAAACTGAGTGCATGAAGGATGTACAGAGAGCGTATGAATGTCGCTGACTCGCTACAGTACACTTTAATCGTAGATCAATCAAGTCCTGCAGAAATGACAAAATCACACCGACAGGACATTGAAAAGAGACGTGTCCCTTTTGGAGGCACCACTCCTCAAACACCCTCCACTTACAGTCATAAAGAGACCTGGTGGTAGTGATGGGAATTATGGCTCTTTGAAGGGAGCCGGATCTTATGGCTCCGTTCCTTTCAAAGAGCCGTTCAAAAGAGCCGTTCAAAAGAGCCGTTTTTTTAAGGTTACTAGGTTTATCTGCAAAATAATCACCAGGATAATGATTGCCAGACCTAATGTCAATAATCGGCATTGTAAACATGACACAAGGTGGCGCCATATCCATGTCATTCATGTCAGTGAATGTACTTTGAATTTACCCTCTGTATGTGTTAAGTAAATAAAGTTGCCTTGCCTTGAATGAAATTCATGCAACTCTTAATATTAGATACTGTGTTTTTAAGTGGCGATGGAGATTATTTGTTGACCCTGCTTTAAAAGGATATTTTGCCTTTACAAATGGTGCGCTTTATCACTGCCTGGGTTTTGGTTGAAGTGCATCCAAATGCTGCTGCGTTTCGCGTTTGGCTCATTTTCCATCCGAAAAACACGTCGTCTACCTGTCCTGTACCACTTGTTATGACTTCTCTCTCGCGCGTATTCCGTTAAGACCCACCCCATCTCACTCCTCGTGCTGAAACCTACCAATCAGAGTAGTGGCGGATCTTCACAGAATACGTTTGGGGAACAAAATCAAGCTTTTTAAAAGGCGAGTGGATTTTGGCAGGCAGTGAGTGCGGACCGTGCGGACCAACGATTGAACGATAACAAGAACGGCTCTCACCAAGTAGGACTCGGTTCCCCTCGTTCGTACCAAAGAGCCGTTCAAAAGAATCGGCTCGTTCGCGACCGACACATCACTACCTGGTGGAGGAAGCCCTTGCACTCTGAATAGTGTTAGAGGAAGCCCCACTGTACTCAAATTACGGGCCAGGCCCATAGTGCCAAGCATTCCGGGTGTGGGTGAAAAATCATGCCCCCCGCCTGAGACAGTATGTCCCTGCGTAACGGGAGCTGCCACGGCTGCCCACACAGCAGCTGATATATCTCCGCCAGCCAATACATTGCAGGCCAGTGCGGGGCTATCAGGATCAGCGTGTGGCGATGCTCTCTCACTCTGGCCAGAGTCGGAGGTATTAGAGCCAGGGGTGGGAACGCGTACAGAAGGACCGGTGGCCAAGCGTGTGCGAGCACGTCCACGCCTAACGGTGCGTCTATACAGCGCATTGAAAACAGGGTTCCCGCGGGGTCTTAAAAAGTCTTAAAAAGTCTTAAATTTGATAATCTGAATTTAAGGCCTTAAAAAGGTCTTAAATATGACCAAAAAAATAAGAAAGGTCTTAAATATGATTTAGAAGGTCTTAAAAATGATGGGATTTGAAAGGTACTTCTGTGTTGCGATCGCGTCTAAAATGTGTTTTGGGGGACTTGTCCGGGCTGCAAAGTAACGGTAATAGCCTTTCAGTTCCCCCCCAACAATTTGTATTGAAATAAATCAACATGGAACCAGTAATCACTAACTTTGTTTCCCCCGGCCCCTTAACGGAGAACACCCAGCTAGTAACCTAGCAACCAAGCTTCAGCTAGCGGCAGTCAGAAACTCATGTCTCTTCGAATCTACTTACAAATAAATATGGGGAAGTGTAAGTTCAACCGTATTTGGTTGGAAAACATCGAATTTAGTGCTTGGTTGAAACCAGTGGAGGGGAACGTGTTTGAAGCCCGCTGCACCTTTTGCAAAAGAAATTAGCGTTTGTTTGGCTAATGTAGCGTTAGCTAGTGCAGCGTTAGCTAGTGCAGCAGCTCCCGCAACAACACCGTTGGATCTCCGGGCGACGTTTGGGTCTTCGACGTCAACCCTAAAAGCGGAGGTGCTGTAGTGTGTATACGCTAACTACCGTAGCTAAACACCAATCATACAACAGCAACGATGAAAGATTGTAGCAAGGCAGCAGAGCTCTGAATATAGCTCTTGTTTCTGTTTCTCTCTGTTTCTCATCTCTGTTTCTCCCTCTCCTCTCTCTCTCTCTCTCTCACTCTCTCTCTCCTCTCTCTCTCTCTCTCTCTCTCTCTCTTCTCTCTCTCTCTCTCTCTCTCTCTCTCTCGTCTTCGCATCTCGTCTCTCTCTCTCTCTCTCTCTCTCTCTCTCTTCTCTCTCTCTCTCTCTCTCTCTCACCCGTGGACTGAGAGACAGGCCGAAGGGAAGCACTCTGTACTCGTAACAGACACCCTGAAAAGCGAACCTCAGATATTTCCTGTGTGGATAATATATTAGGATGTGAAAATACGCGTCTTTCAGGTCGATTGATGTGAACCAGTCGCCCTGTCGCTGTGAGCTCTGTGCTAACAGCTAACGGCTGATGTTTTGGTTTTCTGATTCAACGTCAGTGGCTAAGATCCTCCCTGCTGATTGACTACCGCGAGAACGCGTCACGCGAATTTGACGCTCGAGTTGAACAAATTGATAAAGAGACTCGTACACACACACGCACACACAGACTTTTGCATTTCAAAGTATTGCTTGTTCATACAGTTGAATGTTGGAGCTTCACTGTGCACTGCTGAATGATGTATGTGCAGAGTTTGACTCTTGAAGGCTGTTTCTTTTGCTCTGAAATTGAATATATTTTTTACATATTAATAGAATTTTAGATTTTTTGATTTGATTTCGGGTTTGTGAATGGGAGAAGTAGTAGATGGAAAACATACCAAACACTAATTATTCAAAGTAGAGTATTTCATTTTATATACGGTAATACTAAGAAGAATACCTATATGATTATAATGTTTGACATTATTGATATTAAAAAAGTGATTTGTGATTTGTTTTCCATGTCATTCGTCATAAGTTGAACTTAATGTCAACTTCCAGAAAGGTTTAACTCAGTTTGCCTTGTCCTATAACATAGAACACCTTCAATTAAAGGGTTTTGCAAAGAAAGTGGTGGCCATTTTGAATTTCGCTTCCTGTAGCTTTCCAGTCTGTAAACTGAAAAAATCTGTAAACATTTAATCAATTCAAATTAGCATCGGCAGCAAACCTTCTGTATATTAATGTAAACCCTTCAATATGTTATAGAAATAATATTTTAAGTATATTTACCCATTTTGAACACAGCAAACAATCCAGAGGACAGAAGTGCCTTGCTTGAAATGGATTTCGCTTTGGAGAGACAAAAAAGGCACATTGCCATCTAGTGGCCTGATTGAGAACATGCTTTACCAAGGCATCACCTGAAAGCTTATTTTCTGCTCTTTCAACAGGTTTTCTCAGTTTGTCTTTACCATGAACTGTCACAGAGATATTCAATCAGAAAGAGAATGATGGCATCTGATCCAGCCAGAATATTTTACTTTTTTTCATATTGGGGTTGCATTGTTGGACCCTCACTGTAGCTTTCCAGTAGCTAGTTGACCCGGTTTGTCCACCCAGGTTGTGATCCTTGAAGGTCCTAGATATAATTTCTGTCGGACAACAATTTTACAACATTCCATGTCTGTAAAAATGACTTAGCCCCCTGGGTACCTTGGTAAAAAACTGGACGTATATTTTTTATAGTAAATAACTGTATGTTAATATTTGTCATTGTTTTTTTGTCTTTACAGCGGGCAGTGTGATGTATAACTCAGGTAAGACATACATCTGAATTGGACATAACAGAAACAATATTGATTAATTAATAATATGATGTATTTGAATGAATAACATACATTTTGTCTTAAGAGTAGATCTACTGATTATTAACAATCTTTTTTTTTTAATCTGTTTCTGAATCATTTTTTTCTTTTTAACAGCACCACAAGGTGTACCAGGTAATTTGGACCAATTCATAATATACTGTACTTCATACACTTTTGCATAAATAAGCTTTAGAAAAAAAGAAATCACGACCAAAAAATGAAAAAGAAACGGGGGGTTTACGTATTGTAACCCTAGTTATATAAGCACAGACGGAGCCCTCTACTGGACTGTATGGGTACTACTCTCTATCATGCTATGCGTGCATTCACCTACTGAGTTGCATAAACGTAGCCGGCTAATCGGGGGAAGGCTAATCGGGGGAAGCCTACCTGAATGCGTGCGCAGGCCCACAGTTTGTAAGGCGGCTATGCCCTCCGACCGTCATCCTACACCCTCTTCAGCGAGCGGCATAGGAAAGACAGGGCCCCCAGGTAGAGGGCTCCGCCTGTGCTTATATAACTAGGGTTACAATATGTAACCCCCCGTTATATATCACACAGGCTCCGCCCTCTACTGGACTCTATGGGTACAGTGGGTGCTGGTGCTGGTACTGGACCTGCCCCGGAACCGGCCGAGGAAGCAGGAGAAGCAGCGGGAGCCGTGGGTGCTCTGGACCTGCGCCTCTCTCTCCTTCTCACCGTGGGCTCGCACTCGCCTCGCTGAGGGAGAGCCAGCGGCAGCATATTGGCTGAGCTGCGCTCTTTCCTCCTCCAAAGCGGCTGAAGCACTGCGTGACCGCGGTGACCGCGGTGACCGATGAGCCCTTCCGTGGACACGGGGGCTCCAAGGAGATCATCACGGTCCTTCTTGGAGAGTGCCGTGAGTCCCAACCACACGTGGCGTGATCCCACTGTGGCCAGGGACATCACGCGACCAGCTGCGGCGGCTACACCATGGCCAGATTATTCATCTGTCCGATGCAGCGGTCCACATACTCACTCCGGTCTTCCTGAGAAGGGTAGGCGGGGGCTTCCGGCTGAGGAGTAATCAGCTAAACCCCTAACACGCCCAGATTGTTGGCCACCGCGGCCAGCTGTGCCCCGAGCCGGAATATCTTATCCAGATATTCCAGCGCTTCACGGTCACAAGGCAGCGGGGGCAGGGGTCTTCTCCCTCTGCCCAACCTGCTGCCTGGGGAGCAGATTGGCCACGAGGCTCTCATCGAGGGGGGGCACACCGGGACACGTTGTGTCCGAGTGGCCCTGCACCCTGAGAAAACCCGCCATGCCGGCCACCGGAGCCCTCGTTCTCAGAGGGTGCCGCCATGTCGCCTCCACACACTGCCAGATATCTGGCAATTGGGGCGAAACAAACGCCGACTGGGCTGGCTGAACCAGGCCATAAAACCCCTGACGGAGGCGGCTCACCGGACTGGGTGGTAGCGGAGGGGCGAGTGGTAGGCTCCGCCACCATGGCCATCACCAGCGGGAAATCCTGGCGGGCAAATCCTGGCGGGCAAATCTGCGCGGTGGACCCTCATGGACACCGGACCCAGAAGCGCCCGACAGCGAGAAGTCCTCGTCTTCCTCCTCCTCGACAAACGGGGCTGCCCGGCCCACCGGAATGGCGAACACGAAAGGCACCTCCTCTGCCACCTCCTGGTCCTCCATCTCCACCATCTCGAGGTCCTCCTGGTCCTGTGCCTCGTCCGCCGAGACATAATGCGCCTGGAAGTGGTCCAGGCGATGTTGGCGTCTAAGCCGTGGGAGCGCCCGACAGGCACTGCAGGACGGGGAATGTCTGCCATCCTCGATGGTGTGGTCAGCCCCCAGACACTCGAAGCACCATCTGTGAGGATCAGAGCCCGCGATTAAGCCAGGGCAAGTAGGGAAAGGCCGAGTTTCCAGGAGTGGTGAGTCCATATTCTTTTTTCTCTTCTTCTTCTGACGTTTTAGCTTTCTTCAGTTGTCTGCTCGCTGAAGAGAAAAAGGATGGCGGTCGGAGGGCGTAGCCGCCTTATATACTGTGGGCCTGCGCGCGCATTCAGGTAGGCTCGGCCCGATTGGCCGGCTACGTTTATGCAACTCAGTAGGTGAATGCACGCATAGAATGATAGAGAGTAGTACCCATGGAGTCCAGTAGAGGGCGGAGCCTGTGTGATATATAACAGATGCTAATCTTGACAATATTTTAAAACAATTAGTGTCCTTTTTCAAAGTAAACTAACAACTGAATATTTAATTCACTTTATCATTTCTTTCTTTTTGACAGGCAAGTAAGATAAAAGTTCACCTTTTCATTAACACTATTCATTATTAATCAATACAATTATGAAAAGAAGACATAACATAACATGAAAACAGCGTACATTTTTTAACATGACAAAATGTTTTTTTTCATTATGTTAAAAATGAGAAGAAGCACTGTAGTTCATTTGATGTCAAGAACTGAGGGTGGAGGATGCATGCTTTAGTATTTCAAAGTAACTGATCAGCTGTATGGTAGTTTGTATGGAAGCAATTAAGAGACAGAAGTATTTGAATTTGATCAGACACCGAATTTATAGCATTGAAAATACTTACTTTGAAAATCATGTATCTGGATTTCTTTGCTCCGAATTTACCTATGTGAAATAAAAATGTAACAATTCAAGTTAAAACAATTCGAATGGACAATTTCGGTGTTTAAAATTCGACGTCAAAAATGTCGATGCAGCATCATCCGGGCTACCCAGATGATAAGGATAAACAATCGAGCCTGAATGCAATCGAACTGACTTCTGGCCTATCAGAGCACGGCTTTGTCAGTCATGTGATCAAAACAATCCGGGAGAAAGATGACGGAGAACAGCGGGGCTCCGGTAAGTAGTCAGTTTGTGCTGTTTATTTTACAAGCTGTGAGGGCTCGACAGCATTTGTATCTTACATTAGCTAGCTAAATGAGTGATCTAGCCTTGTGCCTTGCTAGGTAAGTGCTCTTACCTGTGATGCCTCCTCCAAACATTATAAGGCAAGGCAAGGCAAGGCAAGGCAAGGCAAGGCAAGGCAAGTTTATTTATATAGCACATTTCAACACAAGGCAATTCAAAGTGCTTTACAAAAATGAAAGACATTAATAGCATTTAAGAAACATATTATGAAATGATATCTAAAAACACTCACTTAAAAGCAATGATATAAAATGGCCTTTAAAAACACTCATTTAAAAGCAAAGATACATGAATTACCAACACACTCTCACTCCCTAAACGTCCAGGAGCGACGCTTGGTCAGGGTCCCGTGGCGTGCAGTTGGGACGCGTCGAGGCTCCTTCAGCTTCATAAACGGACGCAAAGAGCTTTCAACTGATTGCAATGTATTCCCATCGGCCGCGGTATTTGACGCTCAGGGAAGCACCGCATCGGTCCATGTCGGCGGCATTTAAAGGCAATGTGAGCGTCCATTCCCATTGGATAACAGAGGATTTTACACCCGGAAGTAACTATTCTCCTTACTGTCGATTGATTTTACAGTGATATCTGCACTACTCATCAACTCAAAAACACCAGATTATCCTTGTTAATTACACAACATTGATTGGTTACAATTGTGTGCAATGCTTTTGTGTTTTTCCCCTTTGATTCGGAGAAACAAATATTTTTCGGAGTTTAGGATGGCAGAAGACACTACACTACCCAGAATCCTCAGCTATAATTTGGGACTACACCATGTGCTTTGTTTGACAAACCCCGTGATTAGTTCTCAAGCTCTGTGATTGGATGTTGGAGTGGCAGTGCGCAAAGTTTACACCGCGTCAAACAGCACTTTGAAATGGAATGAAACCCATCGACGCACACTATCCAAATCAAGACTTTTACGTGTCCTACTACCCCCCCCCCCCCTATGTCACAGGCTCCTCCAACAGTGCAACACAATAAAACAGATACACAGAAAAAATTGTGCAAGTAAATACAAAAAGAAAAATAGTAAAATAGTAAAAAGTAAAATAGTGCAATAAGAGTCTATATACAAGTGATTGGAATATGATATATTAGACAAATAATTTCTAAGTAGCAGCCAGATGAATGTTATGGATGTTGTTTCAAAGTTCAGGTGTTTAATAGTCTTCTGGCCTGTGGGATGAAGCTGTCCCTGAGTCTGGTGGTTTTAGTCCGGATGCTGCGGTACCGCCTGCCAGACGGCAGCAGACAGAACAGTTTGTGGCTGGGGTGATGGGGTCTTTTATAATCCTGAGGGCTTTCTTTAAGGTTAACCTGGTATTTTTACTACATTCATTTTAGTTACTTTACAGATTTGGATTAATGATGTGAAATATAAACAACCCTTAAATCAGACTTTAGTTACACCTGAGTAAAATTCAGTGAAGGTGATTGTCAAGTGCAAACAATCAGGCGAGATATTTGATAGTTGGTGCTTGAGAAGACAAAAAATGTATCTGCAGATCCCTATAAAGCATATTCATTACTCGTTATTCTCTAATTGTTCATCAAAAACTGTATATAATGGCTATTTTGCACATCCCTTTCAAAATGTCAAGATTTTCAAAGGTTTATTGAAATATCATATACACAACTACGGTGTAGTTATGCAATGATGACAAACTTGGATCATACTGTAGGTTCCTCAACAAGAGATCTATCAATATGTGTGTACCTCCACCATTAAACTGTCATATTCTGCACATTTCTTATTCTATCTACATACATCTTATAAGAGTATAATAAATATGTATAATATCGGTTAAAATAAGTCCTTCAACATAGTTAACATTGCAGGAAAGTTGATTGTCAAGTCCCAAAACAAACCATGCAATATATTAAACGTTAAGTACTTTGTCAGGCTTAATATAGATACCCCCAAAGCTTTTTGCTTACATGTATTTAAAAGAAGACCTTAACCTAAAGTATTATTTAATGTTTAAATAAAGCCTAATTAGTTTGTCTGTTTTGCACATCCTCCTATTAATATCTTTGTACATCCGGCACTAAACTGTTTTATTCTAGATACCATTTACAGTATCTTCTTGATATTTTCTATTCTATATTTCTATCATTGACCTTCTACTTTCCTCCTATTTTGTATATACTCTTAATATTTAAATGTTTTCATAAAATATAACACATTCAAAAGTG